CCAAGGTATTCATTTGCTCTTCGAGTTGCATTTTTTCATCCTTCTTCCTGAAACAGATCCGTTGGTTCCCCAATTTAACAATTTAATGTGTATCGTCATCTATCGTCATTCCTCTCGGTTGCACGCGATTATCTTTCAACTGCTTAAAGCTACCTCGTTCCTCTTCGATTAATCGCACTTTCAGTCAAAAACTTCCATCGCTTGAATTTGCTTTTTCGTGTCTTATCTCTATCACTAAACACCTATAATCGCACCTCTTCCAAGTTCATCTCCACGTCGTCTGGTCGTTCTTCATGAAATTGTTCTTTAACGAACATTTTATTCGTTTTTATTATGCGTTTTTCTGCAGCATTCGTTTTTCCTTCCTTCCATACTAGAAAGCTGCACACTTGACTACCGAAAATGGAATTTCGGGTTAGGTGAGCAAAAAAAAAAACTGATATCCACTGAAGATGTGTAATTGGATGCGTGGGGAGTAATAGTAGGGATTAATGATTGCTTTGCTTAGCAGCAGCAAAAAGTATGCGCTGATATCTTGTTTAATAGCGGAAGATGTAACGAATCGAGGCGTATGCAATAAAATTTACAGGACTTATGTCGAATAAATAATCAATTGCTGATTGCACTCGGAGTGGGCCATCCGAAAATCGATCAGATCTGTACGCTGCTGGCTCGTTATGGCATTCACCCGAAGATGACTGGTGCCGGTGGAGGCGGCAGTGTGTTCGCTTTTCTGAAACCAGGTGGGTGATAGTTGCCGTGATGAATCGACTGAATTTATGAATCGACTGAATTGATGAATCGACTGAATTGATGAATCGACTGAATTTATGAATCGACTGAATTTATGAATCGACTGAATTGATGTGTTGCTGAATTTATGTGTATTGCAGATACATCAACAACTGTGCTCACAATGATAAAGGATGAATTGACAAAGCTGGATTATGAGTTATGGCAACCACCGTTGGGTGGACCCGGAGTGGTTTGTCATGCAGGTAAACCAGACTTGTTCAGTGTGCCAATCACGTGCATGAATGCAGCACCATCGGCTTCGCATTCACCCAACACAACCCCACAAGCAGCACCATCCAGCTCATCTTCATCGTCGAGCACACATCGTCATTCACATCAGCAGAATCAGCTAGGTGCTGAATCGCATTCGACACATTCGACACCCTCTTCATCACATCATCGTCATCATTCGAAAAAATAATCTTTGCTTTTGTTTCTTTTTGGGACGACGACGATGACCTCTTTTTCAATAGAAATAAATCCTTGGGTAGACAGCGAAATTTTACGTTTCTATAACTGATTATGCATCATATTGTGCTGCTGTCTTTGTGAATTTATCATTTGAGTTGATTGAGTAATCGGATGTGATGTTGATCGAATGCATTGCAATTACACACTTCATGAGAGTAGTACGATGAAGGGAAGTTGAGTAATTCGTTGAATGCCCATATTTGAATGCCTCGTTATCACTTTCATCGAATAATGGCATTATTATTATTTGATTTGGTTATGTTCAGTTATTTATGATCAATCGGATTTTATCATCTCGACGTTTCGTGGAAAGTTTTCTTGTGCTCTCGGTTTTGTATTAGTAGCGTATGAGTAATGATGAATGGGTTACCAAACTTGTTATGAATACATTCGTTTATGCAATCGTTATTACTTATTTGATGATCCGTTTGATTGTACGATTTTGAATTAATTGATTTGTAGAAA